ACCATATAAGTGACTATATGACAATAATATTTTAAACCAATTTTCTTAAACCAATTGCTAATATACTCTCCTTATCACCCTGTCGAATCAGCCAGAGCATGTAGCTCATCAGTAGCCTTCCCCTTGTCATCCTCCCATCTCATGATACTGGCCAGCTCCATCATCCTCAGCTCCCTCATCGCTAGGTCGGCGGTTTCCTCATGGTACTCTGGCGAAGTGGTTTAGATGATACCAGGGCAAGCTCCCCTCTATTTGTACAGAAGTTGGTGTAGCCTGGGTGACGATGTATGGTCTCTTTGGCTCGGGACCTTCTTCCGTCACTAGGATCTCGGATCAGGCAGATTCCCTCTCAATTCACCAACATCGGTCTTCGGAGAGTGTCCTTCTGGCAGCTTACCAATAGGGAAGCTCGGAGTCACTACTGCAAAGACACACAGACACATACAGACACAAAATAAAATAAAGCTACCCAATGGCGAGGCCATCTTCCTCTTCTGGGGTTGGAACTCTCCTACAGTGAGACACATAGATCTAGGTATCTGTCTCTGCCAGTTTCACCATCATCGAGGTAGTCAGCAACACCTGGTACGGGCCCCTCTACCTAGGGTATTTCCAGCTATTTCTTCTGTAGTCTTTTACCGCGACAAAGTCTCCAGCATATACAACTCACAGATTCTCCTTCTAGGTTGGGCAGAGAAACCTTCACCCGTGGGAAGAAAGTCTTAAGAACATTGTTAGGTGAGACACAGTATGCTACTGTACCATGTCTTCTCATCAGTCAGGAGAAGCCTTGAGATTAGGAAGTGCACATTCAAGCATCTCGTTGTAGTCCATTATCTTTCAGAGACAGGCTCATTTGCACATTCCATCTAAACCATAACACATGAATTACTACTGCTCATATTCTTAATACAATTCGCATATTTACCACAAAGACCAGTAATTCCCCCTTCTGGTCACATGACTCACATCGTGATTCATGGGTTCAAAAAATAAAACAACAACATTGCCTGTTAAATCAAAAAAATAAATGAAATTAGAATGACAACCTTTGATAATATCTTCACTTAATTGTATCCCATAAAGTAATTCAGGAATAGTAATAATAATAATAATAATATGCCATTTAGCAGACGCTTTTATCCAAAGCGACTTACAGTCATGCGTGCATACAATTTTTTTTTTTTTTTTTGTGTATGGTGTATAGTCAAATTAACTAGCGACATTTTTTTTTTTTTTGTGTATGGTGTATAGTCAAATTAACTAGCGACACTTATCCCTCATACAGGGCTAGCACTCTCTCTCTGTCCTTTGTCATGGTCCGAATCATATATAGGATTATGAACCATAAACTTCGTCATAATTATCCAGTATTACAAATTACCCTCAATCGTTATAATAAATGACCTTAAATTCACCATCCTATGCCTCTCGGGTTTCCAGTGTGGGTGATCAAAATCCACCTAGAAAGTCAGAACAGAGGTCAGAGGTCATTCAAATCCTTCAAAGAAGTGTTTCATTCTATAGTAGACTAATCATTAACAACATTCAAAACATTTCATACATTTTCGTATCCCAAGTGTACAGTAATACTTCATAACAGTTCTTATCAAAATAAATCACATATGTTTAATTAAAACTCACTCAGAAAATACAACTTCAAACACTTCCATGTGTGTGTGTCCCTTTAAGATACGTCATTTCTAACCCTTGAAAACCCCCTAAAATAAAATAAAAACCCAATCCAACTAACATTTCATAGGTGGGTTGTGTGAAAACCAAATAAAAATGGCCTTATTTAATTTGGTAGCTCCCTTCACTGCCTACTCCTGATATCTTAATACTTACAAAACTGCCCAATTCAACTAACATCTCTCACCAAGACCACATACTCAGGAACATCTGAAAAAGATAAGAAACCCCCTTCTCCTGTAACAGAAAGTTGACTTGTTGTTAACATTCAGTTATAACCAGCAATCCAAAAATGGTAATTACACACAAAACATGATGCAGATAATTCCACTGTACTACCTCATATCAATAATCGTTTGTTTCAATCTAATTCCTCGTTACTACTCCAGAATAATAAAATGACCTAACATCTCTCACTCCTTGTCTTCCTCATCATACCATACTCCACTCACCCTAGCATATCTGGCTATGCTTTGAAATTAATGTTATCACGTAAGATTATGGCCACAGTTCTATCGCAATTGTCAATCTACTGTTATTAGAATTCAAGACATTTAGGTAACTGTCCCTACTACTTAGGCTACAGGTAATACAACAAACACTTGCTGTAGTTGACAAGCATATATTCAATTAATATCCATATCCAATTCAATATTTTAAATTATAACCCCATTCACAGTAGTTTAAGCTAGCAAACCATTAGGCAACTCAAAAAAATGACTACCTCGAAATCGTCACGCTATTCCTGTGGCATAAGTTAGTCTTTCAATTTGAACCAAACAAGCTGCTAAATCATCCAGTTTACATCACAAAACAAACACTGTCTGCAGTATCTGTCTAAGCAACACATACCAACAGTTGAATTACACTCAGAAACCCAGATTTTACTCTATGCCATTGACCCAATGCTATTGAAATGACAAAGAAATCCCTCAAATAGCCCAATTACAATGGTTTGTCGTCTTAACATCTGATCCATAATGAAATTCCTTCACTTCCTCACCATAGCTCCTCAATGATAATTAGTTTAATGGAAACCCTAAATTGGCTTTGTACTATGTTATAAGTTACATCTATCAATTCCAGTCCTTATGGACAGTTTATTCCTTAAACCTTATCTCTATCACATGATCCATAAACGGCACCAACTCCAAAAAGTTGTATTTATCGTTTCCCACCCCTGACGTACATCTACGTTTTGGGGTTAACATATTGTATACTAATAATATTCCAATTATTACTTTATCAAATCTCTAGTAATCGCTTAAACACACATAAAATTAATCATATTTCCATATATTCACATAATCCACCTAGAATGTTAGAACTCCTAGGTACTCACAACAAACAATCCCTTCGTGTTTTTAACGATTCTCAATCGACACAAATCAACTTCTACAAACATACTCCCAGTGGAACCAAAAAAACAGACTGTAGTTTCCAGGACACTGCCCTGCCTGTCATGGGATCCACCCAGAAAATACCGACTTTCCACTACTTTGTAAAACACCATTCCGCTCTCAATACCACTCCTTGATCTTCTATGACCTAAGTCTGTTATATATCAAAACATATTATCCAAACTTGTATCAAATGATCATACATATTTCTATAATTTATTATGCACCCTTCAGATTAAAATTACATTCTGCTCTTTGTTCATAAGATAGCCTATGTTGTTCCATTTAATTACTTAACTTCGTTAGCTGACTTTTTCTCCTTAATAATTATATTTCCAGGCCATCATGCGCTCATTAAATCGCATG